CAGACCTGATGGATGAAGAGGAGGTGGAGGTTTTCCTCCCTCGGTTTAAGCTACAGGAAAATTATGATTTGGAGGAAGTCCTTCGCAGCCTGGGCATGACCGATGCCTTCGATGAAGCCAGGGCAGACTTTTCTGGAATGTCATCCAGGAGAGACCTGCATCTGTCCAAGGTTGTGCACAAGTCCTTTGTGGAGGTCAATGAGGAGGGTACTGAAGCTGCAGCCGCCACTGCCGCTATCATGATGATGAGGTGCATGAGGTTCACTGCGAGATTCTGCGCAGACCACCCCTTCCTCTTCTTCATCCAGCACAGCAGGACCAGAGGGATTCTGTTCTGCGGCCGAGTTTCTTCTCCGTGAGGAAACAGTCATCCCTGGGTGCAGTCCTCTGCTTTCACCCACTGACCCACTTTTCTTTCAACACTCCACCATGTGCCTGTGACCCAAGTGACCTTATCAGTGCAGTGTAACAATTCAGAAATAAAGGGCCCATTTTGGAGTCCCATGTTGACTACTGTTTGCATGTGAGATGTTTTTCCAGGATCCAAAATTGCCCTTCTCTGTGGGTCTGTGGTCATGTTGGCTGCTGGGTTCATTCATCCCTTCCGGGGATGAGCCGTCACCTACCCCCTTGCAGCTGGGAAGGACCCTGTGGCTTCACTGTGGGCAGATAACTGCCATCACCGTTGACCCTTCTCCAGGCATAAGAAGATAAGTGATGCCTCTCTCTTCTCCACTGTGGCATGAAAATCTCATCCCATTTTTAGTGAGAGTCTAGAGTAGAATGCAAAGCTGTGAGGAGGGGTGAGGGGTGAGAGCTCATCTCAGGAACCCCCTGTCGGGAGCTCAAAAATTCTAAAATTTCTGTGAGCTCTCTAGAAGACTCCATGGAGGTGGGAGAGCAGGTAACTAGGCCCAGTGAGAAATCAGTCCCTTTGCATGTGCATCTCTACTTCCCTGTGGTTTGGTGGGTCATGGGTCTATTCACACACACACTGCCCCCTTACTTTGACAGGTCAAATTGTGCCAGGGGTCAGAGACATAACCTAACAACTGTGTGAGTCTATACCAGGTGACTTTCTTCATAGCAAATATTATCAAAAAAAAGTGGCCATGGTTTCTGCAGCCACTAATGTTACCTGCTGGAAATGCAGTTGTAGCATTCAGCAATGCAGGGGAAACCAATGGGCCAGGTTCTGTTTTCCAAGGCATGGTGGGGAGGACCTCCACTGCCCCCCTCTGACTTCACTGCTGCTACTCATATGTTGATTCTGCACCTGGTCCACTTTACCTATGGTACTCAAGCTGTGGTGACAGAATGGAATTGGTGAGTGTCAGGGAACATGGAAATT